AAAAAGGGAAGGCTGTGATGGGACAAGAGGGGGGCAAAACAATTAAACAAGGGGGTGCAGAGGGGGAAGGGGAAGAGGAGAGAGGGCACGATAAACCTCTGGAGTCCCCCAACAACTAGAGCCTGCTGGAAACAATGGTGAGAAATAACAACAACAACAACAACAACATGCTTCGGCCCTTTAGTGCGATGCTTGCCCTAGCCAGCTCAATTCCCTGGTTGGCGCGGGCCTTGACACCTGCGAACGCCCTTCGCAACGCCGCCAGAGGCGTGGGGGTAGCACGCCAGGACGAGCCGCTCGATAGTGACCAAGAGAGCAGTATCAATTTTGTCGTCGCCATCGTCGTGTCGTGACCAGATGAGACGGGAGCAGGATGATTAGGGGGCAACAAAAGGAGGAGGAGGAGGAGACGGGAGGAGGGAGGGATGATGACGACGGGGAGCGGGCCAGGAACGCGTGGGCCGCGCCGGCCGCCTGCGCCGCCGATGACGACCGCGGCAAGGACCACGACCAGGACGACGGCGGGGACAACGACAATGACCACAACGGGGAGGACAACGACAACAACAACGACGACGGCGAAGACGACGGCAACGGCGAAGATGACGACGACGACGACGACGAGGACGAGGACGTGGACGGCGACGACGGCAGCGTCGACGACGGCAGCGGCGACGGCGGCAGCGGCAACGGCGGCAACGACAGGCCCCCTCGACGCAGCCTGGGGCACGTCGCGGCCAGAACTTCCGGCAGGGGGAGGGGGGAACAGGCCTGGCGATGAGAGGCATCCAGGAAGCCCTGGGACGCCCAGCACCGCACGACACGAGACAGCTACAGCGTGCCAGAGTCAGGAAAGGTGGGCGCGGAACGAGGAGCGCCTCGGGCCACGGCGAAGCCCCGGCCACGAAGGGGCTCACCGACCAGGATCGACGGAACCGCCGGGAGGCCAGATCTCTGCCTGAGACCATCCCCGGGTCTTGTGCTTTCTTTTGAGAGCCCTGCGCCCGGATCTCCCCGCTGGACGGGCCCCCCGCGCCCGCGACCGCTGGCGCCGCCAGTGGAAGAGTCTCTTGCTGGCCATCGCTCGGACGTTCATTCCCTGTGTTTTTTGTCGGTTTCGTGCGTGGCTTTTTCGCCAAATGATCAAGGATGCTCCTCGATGGTCCCCACCGAGGAAAAAATGCACATGTCCGAGCGATGCCAAGCTTGAACCTGGGTCCTCGATCCTCGTCTTCGTCAATCGTCGTCGGTGGCTGCGGCGGCTAGGCGGGCGCGTACCCGCGCCCGCTGCTCGCACCTGCTCGCCGCGGCGACTGCCGCGCTGTAGGCGACCGAGTTCAGGACCACGCTCCTACGGGGGCTCTGCGGTGGCTCGGCGCCGCCACGGCCCTGGCCGCGTTCGTCGTCGTTGTCTTCGTCGTCGTCGTCGTCGGCGTCGGCGTCGACGTCGGCGTCGGCGTCCTCGGCATCGTGGTCGTCGTGGCTACTGGCGCCGCCATCATCCTCGGCACAAGCGGTGGCGGCCGTCGCCATGCGAAGGGGGCGGGAGAGTGGGTGGAAGGGAGAGGACAACTCGGGTACGCGCAAGCATGGATCGGAGATCTGTGAATCTGGCGAAGACTCACGGATCGGGGCGAAACATGGCGCCAACACTGCCTGATTTGGCGACGGAGCAGGCCGATTCGGTGCGGACTCGGGACCTGTCGCTAGACCACGCGTCTTGATCCATGTGTGCAGTTCCTTGACCTTGCAATCTTGTTGTTGTCATCGCCCCTTTGGGGGTCGAATCCTGCTCCGGCAACCAAGATTCGACGATTGCTCCAGAACCGTGGTGCTGATGCCCCGATCCGCTTCCCGTGGGCCACGCTCACAGGCTCGGGAGCCATACCATCACGGAGGAGGGGGGGAATGAGGAGGGAGAAGGGAAAGAGGATGTGGAGGAGCGATGAGCCAAGAGGCAAGAGGGACGACGAGGAGAGATGAAGGATTGAGGATGGGAAGACGGGTGAAGAGGGAGGGGGATGGAATCCAGGATGGGTGGGTGCTGATGAGCTTGGTTCTTTAAACAAATGCCCAGGGCAACGTCTTACGTTGTTGCTCCATCTAGGCGTGTTGGACATCAATTGTTGTGCTAGCGTGTTTTAGGCCCTCATGAGAAGCTAAAATACCATAACCTATATTTACGTAGCACCCCGCAGTTGCTGATAAGAGTGAGGGGGCGGGCGCGGGCGACGCGGGCGTCGTCGAGCCGGCGGACCTCGTGGCCCCCACCTTCTCTGTCGATGATGCTCTCCTCCTCCTCCTCCTCCTCCTCCTCCTCTTCCTCCTTCTCCTCCTCCTCCTCCTCCTTCCCCTCCTTCTCCTCCTCCTCCTCCTCCTTCTCTTCCTCGTCCCCGTCCTCGTCCTCATCGTCATCGTCAGCCTCCTCCTCCACCGTGTCCTCCTCCTCCTCCTCCTCCTCTTCCTCGTCCTCCCTCTCCCCTCCTCGTCTTTCCATCATCGTCCTCCCATTGTCGTCCTCCCCCTCATCGGCCTCCATCATCGTCCTCCCATTGTCGTCCATCATCATTATCATCATCATCATTATCATCATCATCATCATCATCATCATCATCATCATCATCATCATCATCATCATCATCATCATCATCATCATCATCATCATCATCATCATCATCATCATCATCATCATCATCATCATCATCATCATCATCATCATCATCATCATCCATCATCATCCTCCCCCTCCTCGTCCTCCTCCTCCCCCTCCTCCCCCTCCTCGTCCTCCTGCTCCTCCTTGTCTCCACATTCTCCTTACATCCTCTCTTCTTCCGCGTCTCCTCGTCCCCTGTTTACTCCTCCTGCCTCCCCCTCCTTTCCCAAGATAACTGCAACGCAATCCTTTGTTCCACTTTATGCTCCCCGACTTCTCTGATCAAGGCAACTCGCCAGGGCAAAGTTGCTGGACGGGCTGGTGTGGATGCGCGGGGCTTGAAGAGGTCCTTGCGGGCTCAGACGGCATGCGAAAATCCGCCGCCGCGCTTGTGCGGCATTGGTTTGTTCAGTGAACGTGGTTTAGGTCGCGGGTGGGTCGCGGGCTCTCCATCCTCCACCTGGAAGGAATGCAAAAGCAGCCCGCCGCAGGCGCCGAAAACATTGGTTAGTATGCCCGCCGCAGGCGCCGAAAAAAATGTTTGTACCCTGAACGTGGTCGCGGGTGGGCCGCGGGCTCTCCACCTGAAACGAATGCAAAAGATGCCCGCCGCATGCGCCGAAAAATGTGGTTTGTATCCTGAACGTGGTTTGGGTCGCGGGTTGGTCGCGAGTTGGTCGTGGGGTGGGTCGCGGGCTCTCCACCTGGAAGGACTGCAAAAAAAAACCGCCGCAGGCGCCGAAAATTGTGGTTTGTACCTTGAACGTGGTTTGGGTCGAAGGTGGGTCGCGGGTGGGTCGCGGCGTGGGTCGCGGGTGGGTCGCGGGTGGGTCGCGGGTGGGTCGCGGGGTGGGCCGCGGGGGGGTCGCGGGGTGGGTCGCGGGTTGGGTCGCGGGGTGGGTCGCGGGGTGGGTCGCGGGGTGGGTCGCGGGGTGGGTCGCGGGTGGGTCGCGGGTGGGTCGCGGGTGGGTCGCGGGGTGGGTCGCGGGTGGGTCGCGGGTGGGTCGTCGGTGGGTCGCGGGTGGGTCGCCATGGGGGTTTCGGCGTGGGTCGCGGGGTGGTCGCGGGGTGGTCGCGGGGTGGGTCGCGGGTGGGTCGCGGGGCGGGTCGCGGAGGGTCGCGGTGGTCGCGGTGGGTCCGCGGTGGGTCGCGGGTGGGTCGCGGGGGGGTGGTGGGGTCGCGGGTGGTCGAGGATGGTACCGGGGATCCGCGGGGGTCGCGGGTGGTCGCGGGGTGGGTCGCGGGGTGGGGTCGCGGGGTGGTGGTCGCGGTGGGTCCGGGGGGTCGCGGTGGGTCGCGGTGGGGTCGCGGGGTGGGTCGCGGGGTGGTCGCGGGTGGTGTCGCGGTGGGTCCGCGTTGGTGCGGTGGGTCGCGGTGTGGTCGCGGGTGGTCGGGGTGTGTCCGGGGCGGGTTAGCGGGTGGACACGGACAGCAATGAACAACAACAACAACAACAACAACAACAACAACAACAACAACAACAACAACAACAACAATTACTAGCACGTGGGGACACTCCGTTCTCACCAGTGCCAGGGTTTTCATACGACGCCCGCCAATACCCCCACTTTGTGGGGGGGCCGGTTCAAGCTCTACCACATTCCAAAACGACTCTTCGCCACCACCCACACCCAGCTTCCCGCCCTATGACGTTCGGACACTTCACTTCGTGGCCTGCGGACGACCGTGGCTACTACACTGGCGCGTGGCTACTGCACTGGCGGATTGTGGCCCCTGGCAGGCGCGCGAACGCCGTTGAAAGAGCTTGCGAAAGTAGCTCGCGCGAGCTCTATAACAGAAATGTTGAAAAACCATTGGTTTTTAAGGATTCGGACAGCGCGCGCGGGTAGAAATTTTGAAAATTCGTACAGATGTTTTTCGAGGACCTACGGTGCGATTCGTATGATTTTATGTTGCGCGGTGCTAAAATTCCTAAGAAACCCAATGGTTTTTGAAGATTTCGGCGTGCGCGCGCGAAGAAAAAACGAATGTGTCCCATATGGTATTATTTGACAGGGATGATGGCCCTGGCATGCGCGCAACCGTTGTTGCAGAAGTTCGAAGCACGTGAAAAAGTTGTTCGCAAGAGCCCGTTTGACAAAAATGTTGAAAAAGTATTGGGTTTCCTAAGAAATCCGCAAGAGCGCGCGGGATGATTTTTTGAAACTTTTTTTTTGAAAAACCATTGGGTTTGTCATGTTTTTATGTTAAAATCGCTACGAAAACTAAGGTTTTGGAAGGATTTCATTTTGCGCGCGCGAGTGTGCACTTCGTGTCATTTTTTCCAAAAGGATTCTTGAAGTTTGGTTATGTTAGAACAAGACATGTAATTTTATATTGTTTTTTGACAGGGAAAGCGGGCGTCAACAAAACAACCGGATCCAGACTCCCCCGTTTTGCCTGAGACTTCCTCACGAAAATGATGAAAATGTGGCTGCGGCCTAGGCGCGGCGAGGGGGGCGTGCACCAGGGGGCCCAAGAATAATTATTCTTTAGAAGTAATAATATTCAACAACAACAACAACAACAACAACAACAACAACAACAACAACGAGAATCCGCACCGCGGAATCCCACTTCAGCCACGCACCAAGGGACAGTGAATGACCGCTCGGCCCCTCACTCTGATGTATGTTGCGTTGTGAGCACAGATTTCGAAGCGTGTTCAACGCTGCCGCCTGCGACATCCTCAAATCCTTCCCCTTGCGTCCAATCCTCCTGATGTGTTAATTATCATCATGTTGCTCTTCTCTGGTCGTCGCTGCTGCCTGGTCGCGGGGCCTCTGGGTCTGTTCCGCGCCGGTGTTAGACGGGTGTCAGGGCGTTGTTTGAAGGCGTTTTAGCTTTGCGTTCTGCGCGTGGAACGAGAGGAACGGACGCGGCAGGAACGGGAGAGCAGAAGCGAAGACGGCAGTGGAGACAAGGAGCAGCCTCTGACAAGAGAGCAACACAACTCTAAATAACTGGAGATTCACAGCGACGGCCCTGGAAACACTTAACAAGTCAGTTCGCAACGCAAAAAATCGTAGCGATTGTTTTGTGTAGCGTCTCTCGCATCTCACGATACTAAAGTGCACAAACGTGCATCAAAAACGTCCAGGGCGCGTTTAAGAAGAACCAAGCTGATGAGCATGGTTTGAGGAGGTCTTATATATATATATATACACATATATATATACTAGAACCATCGCGCGCGCTTCGCGCGCGCTCAAGTTCTAGCCAGGATCCTCACCATCGTCATCATCGCAATCATCACCATCGTAGTCATCGTCATGGTCGTGTTCACCATTACCATCACCAGCACAACCATCATCATCACCACCATCATCGTCAGCATCGTCAGCACCATCGTCATCATCGTCGTCGTCATCGTTGTCCTCACTATCATCGTCGTCGTCATCATCATCAGCATCATCATCGTCAGCATCAGCATCAGCATCATCATCATCATCATCATCTTCGTCGGCGCCGTCGTTGTGCTCGTCATCCTCATCATCAGCGTCGTCGCCGTCATCATCATCGGTCTACTCCAGTCCCCTCCCCCTCCTCCTCATTTCCGTTCTATCTCTCCCCATCATCCTATCCTCTTGCTCCTCCTCCTCTTTCTTCTCCTCGATGCCGTCTCCCTGAAGTGGATCCCTGTTCATTCACCTCCTCCTCCTCCTCCCTGTCCTCCCCGCTCTCTTCAATATGTCCCTCC